CTTAGATTGGTAGGGAATGATTGGCAATTAAAATCGTTAGTTTTGGGGTGTATACTGTAATTTTAATAAAACATTTCAATAAAAAAAGAAAAGAAAAAGAAAGGAAGTGTAATTAAAACTGAGATATATCAACTGATAACCAATCTTTAAGGCCTTGAATAGCAGTGATAACAAAGAACAGGAAAACTTGCAAAAACAGCTGACATAGACTCAGTACTGGACCTGGGAAAATAGCCAGACCTGCTGAAACTTTGAAATATATCATCATGGGAACCTTATGGAACTTTGGAGAGATGATGTTCCAGAGAGCAGGTGTCCTCACAGAGATGTGTTGGAAATCAGCACCCACCCACCTTCCTAGAGAAGGAAATATTTTGGGGGGATATTAAAAAAGCAGAATATTATATTTCTCTAAAGCAGTGGTTCTCAACCTTTTTAATGCCGCGACCCCGAACCGGTCGTAAGTCAAGGACTACTCAACTGGTCGGAAGTCGAGGACTACTCAACTGGTGCAGCACTGTTTGCAGAATGGGACTTTTGGCGGGCTCAGCAGGGCAGAGACAGCCTGGACAATTCCTATTGGCTTTTGAAAGCCAATAGAATTAGCCTCTATTCAAGAGAATCTATTCTATTGGCTTTCAAAAGCCAATAGAATAAAAGGGAGAAGCACAGCTAAGGAAAAGGGGGAAAAAATGGTGGACTGTGTTGTTTGGTGACCCCCGTGAAATGGTTGTTCGACCCCAAATGGGGTCCCGACCCACAGGTTGAGAACCACTGCTCTAAAGGATCTTAAAGGCAGACGCCTCTCTCTCAAGTCTCTCTGCCCCAAGCCGAAACCAGGTCTGTAGAAATGCAGATCTGATAATCCTTTCAGAAAGACTGGCACCAAGAAGCTTAGAGCTGATGCAATTAGAAAGACAAAGATCCCTAGAACCAACAACCTCTCACCCCAAAAATAGTCATAGGACATAGTCATCAGCCACAGCCCCAGGGAAGCAGGATATGACTTTTAGGACATAATAGGATTAACCCCCACCATCAGAATACCAAAAAGGGCCTACTCAAAAGCTCAGGTCAAAGTTCATGCCACAGGAACAGGAACTCCAAACACAAAAGCCCAAGAAGGTATAAAAAGCCACCACTCCCAGCTACATGTGGTCAGCTTTCCCAGAGTCACATTTCTGTCTGGCTCTGCTCTTCAATAAACGACAACCTTCTTTCTAAATCAGTCTCCATTTTGTTTATTTCTGGCTTGGACTGGACCCTGATGGAGATTTTTCTTTCAACAGATGGAATTATGTAATTGAAGGGATTCTGAATATCCCCACTCTACCTGATCTCACTGGATGGGAAGAAGCTATCAGAGATAGGGAGTCTCTCAAATAGCCAGGCTGTCAGCCATGAAGAGCTGTAAAAGTGATAACTTAAATGGTTGAACGCTAGTTTGGAAGCCTGCTGGCAATCATTATGGTATATGGAGCAGTGACACATGGGCATGTGATGGTTTCTGTCTGATTCTGAACCAGCCAAAGCTTCTAGATAGTGTTCAAGGCAGCCTGATGTTGAGTGCATTGCAGTAGTCCATTTCTGAGGCAATCTTATTGAAAAGGTTAGAAAACCCCTGTTGACCCGGACTTAGAGGACAGTATCAATAGTGAATACGTGGAGATGGCCCTGCTGTCTCTGGCCACACACAGAACTATGAATACAAGGTCATAAAAGGGCAGCAAAGGAAACAACCAATATCCTAACCCACCCGGGAATATATGGTGTCTTAGAGAAACACCCAAAAGGGAACATATGGTGTCTTGGTTGTGAACTTTGATTGGAACAGTTAATGCTCATTGCTTGCATCACTGTGGCAATGATCATTAACTGTTTCAGTCAAAGTTCACAACTATTTAGAAGTATCTTTGACAAGCAGAGCTATCTGCAGGATCCCAGACAATGATATATTGACAATGATATATTGTCGTACCAAAGGATGAAATTGCACACAACATTAAAAAATAGGTTGGGTTGAGAGAGAGTGACTGGCCCAGAGTCTCTCAATGCATTTCCATGGTTGTGGATGGATTCATTTGTAGTCCAGCATCCTAACCACTATGATCCCGCCTCCCTCCTTATTTATTCTAGATATATACACTGTTTAGATACAAACATGTAATCAAGGATTGAAGAAAAAAACAGTACTGAGTAGATGTTACACACACAAGAAAGTTACAAAAAGAGACAACAGTTCATTGTAGAATTTCAAGAAGTGATTAGATGAACACACTTCCCAAATATACATTGTACAGTCACCATCAATGTTGTTTATTGCATTAGGAAGCCAAATAACCTTTACTAAGAGAAGGACTGATCCAGGCAGTTGAAGCTGTGTCATTTAATTGATGTAGTAAGCAGATAGATTAATAATAATAATAATAGTAAAGATGGAAGGGACCTTGGAGGTCATCTAATCCAACCCCCTGCTTAGGCAGGAAACCCTATACCATTTCGACAAATGGCTGTCCAGTCTCTTCTTAAAAACTTCCAGTGTTGGAGCATTCACCACTTCTGGAGCAGGTTGTTCCACTGGTTAATTGTTCTAACTGCCAGGAAATTTCTCCTTAGTTCTAGGTTGCTTCTCTCCTTGATTAGTTTCCATCTGTTGCTTCTTGCCTGCCTTCAGGTGCCTTGGAAAATAGCTTGACTCCCTCTTCTTTGGGGCAGCCCCTGAGATATTGGAACACTGCGATCATGTCCCCCCTCGTCCTTCTCTTCATTAAACTAGACATACCCAATTCCAGCAGCTGTTCCTTATATGCTTTAGCCTCCAATCCCCTAATCATCTTTGTTGCTCTTCTCTGTACTCTTTCTAGAGTCTCAATATCTTTTTTAGATCATGGTGACCAAAATTGGATGCAGTATTCCAAGTGTGGTCTTACCAAGGCATTGTAAAGTGGTATTGACACTTCATGTGATCTTGTTTCTATCCCTCTGTTAATGCAGCCCAGCATTATGTTGGCTTTTTTGGCAGCTGCAGCACACTGCTGGCTCATATTTAGGTGATTGTCCACTAGGATTCCGAGGTCCCTCCCACAGTTACTACTATTGAGCAAGGTACCCCCTATACTATACCTGTATATTTGGTTTTTCTTGCCTAAATATAGAACCTTACTTTTTTCACCATTGAATTTCATTTTGTTAGATAGCGCCCAGTATTCAAGTCTGTCCAGATTCTCCTGTATCCTAAGCCTGTCTTCTAGAGTGTTGGCTAATCCTGCCAGCTTGGTGTCGTCTGCAAATTTGATGAGTTCCCCACCTATCCCCTCGTCCAAATCGTGGATGAAGATGTTGAAGAGCACTGGGCCCAGAACAGAGCCCTGGGGCACCCCACTATACACTTCCCTCCATGTAGGTGCGGTTCCATTGAGGACCACACACCAAGTATGGATGGTCAACCAACTAAGGATCCATCTGGTGTGATGCTGTTTACCCCACATTTTTCAATCTTATCAAGTAGTAGGTTGTGATCTACTTTATCAAATGTCTTATTGAAACCCAAATAAATTATGTCCACAGCATTCCTCTGGTCGACTAATTTTGTCACTTGGTCAAATAATGCAGTAAGAGTTGTCTGGCATGATCTATTTTTGACAAACCCATGTTGGCTTTTAGTAATGACTTTGTTTGCTTCTAGGTGTTCGCTGATTCATTGTTTGAGTATCTTTTCCAGGATCTTCCCAGGTATTGAGGTCAGGCTGATAGGTCTGTAATTTCCTGGATCCATTTTTTTCCCTTTTTTGAAGATGGGAACTATATCAGCTCTTTTCCAGTCCTCTGGTAGTTCCCCTATGCTCCAAGATCTTTGAAAAATATAGTTCAGTGGTTCTGAGATCACATCTGCCAGTTCCTTGAGAACCTTGGGGTGTAATTCATCTGATCCTGGCAATTTGAACTCATCTAGGTTGGACAGGTGCTCACTTATCATTTTCTTGCCTATCTTAACTTGTGTTTCTAGTCTGTTTTTATGGCACTATTTTTGATAGGTTAATTGATAGGAGTATTATGCAAACTGAAGTACCTGACAAAAATGGAAGCAAGCTAGAGTGAAATTATTATATGCTGAAATGTGGAATCGGTTTGGAACTACTCATAATGGAGCAATGTTTGGTAAGATGATGGTACTTGCAGAGATGGCTAAACTAACTTCTTTGATTAGAGAAAAAAATATCTATATTTATGGACTGGAAACCCATTACAGATTTTTGGCAGGAAAGTGGAAAAAAAATATACTTGCAATTTGTGGTTTTCATGATTAGAAAACACTAGACTGCAGAAAAAAGGGGGGTCTTTTTCCCTAATCATAAAGTAAGAGTCAAAATTGCAAATATAATATTTGCTGCAGAAGAAATTGAAAGCTTCTTTTCTCTATTGTTTTGTCCTGTCTTTTTGCACTGTTTGTCTTTTTTCTTTTTTCTTCCTTCTTTTATCTTTGCTTCTTTTGCTTTTCATTAGCTTGCATTAGCTTTTATGTTCCTTGTAAAACTTTTAATAAAATTTACAAAAAAACAACATAAAAGGAAGTTTAGTGCGTTTTTCTCAGGGCAAATCGGAGGGAAGGGTTGATGTTTCTGCAAAAAGTTATCTTCCTCAATTGTGCTAATATTTGATGTAACATAAACTAGAACGTTTGACATACGGTAAGTGGCTAGAAACTATGACATTTAAAACCAATAGAATAAAGAAATCAAGTAAATATGATAAACAACCAATAAAACATGGTGTTTGCTTCTCACTAAGATGTAGAATCAGTGGGTTGATTTTTGATAATTTCCTTCTTTACCTAAGGAAATACTAGCCAATTTTCTTTATGACTGAAGTTTACTTGTTTCCTGTAAGTTAGGAGAAAAAGAAAAGGGTGGACCAGGAAATCTCTGAAAAAATTTGTCCATCTTGATGTCGTGCCAGGCCCATCTGGAGACTATTTAATGGTTGCTCAGAAAGTGAGAATCCACCAGTCCAACCATCCACCAACTCAACTTCTCCAGTTGAAGAGCTTTGCAAGGTGAGAGGCTGAAGGCATTCTTGGCAAGTGTTGGTTAGATGCTCTTTGTTATCCATACATAATCCATCCATACGGCACTGAAATAAGGAGAGGGCTTTTTGAAGTAGCAATAGAACTTTTCATGAGTTGTATGCTAGGAAGCACAATAGAAAGTTTGCAGGCAGACTAGGATCAAAATTAAATGATGGCACTCAAAAATTAGCTTTCTCTTTCAGCAAGCTAATATGAATGCCACTTTATTAATTTTTGTATCACGTCTACTTCTCTTTTCTCCTAAAAGGAAACCAGAAGATGGGACTTTCCATGTACATCAGCCTCTGTTGCCTTGGAATCTTGATCACCAATCCTTTTTTGGGAGGTGAGTCCCCCAAATTAATCATGATATGGAATATATATCAAATTAAACAACTTAGATAAATAAGCTCTGTCTTCAGGCATTTTTATATGTAATATGCAGGTCAGAATTTTTATGTCTTATCCAAGTCAGATCGGATTCTATGCTGCTCCCAGTATTCTGAAACTGTACTGCTGAGATGCACTAGTAAAATGAATAGATTTCAGCAGAGTGATTTGTCAAGTTCCATATTTTAATTTAATTTCCATGTTAAGGGTAGGAATAGTAATAGTAATTCTTTCCCTCAGACATTGCCAGTTTCCCCAGTGATTCCAATGTGGCACAGTTTTAGTCAAGGCTTTTTTTGTCATAGAACACCCAGAACGGAGTTCTGGCACCTTTTTTGGATGGAACCTTGTAGGATAGGCAAGGCGGGTTGTATGACATGTGTGAATTCCGGCACCTTTTTTTTTTTTCCAAAAAAGCACTGGCTTTAGTCATTTAGGATTGTCCATTTGAGATTTTTGTAACATTTTAAGGCTGGGCATAGGACAAGGAGGACTTTTGAACAAAGCTTAATATTCTCCCAGCCTGTTAGAATACCTTGACATTGTCTGGAAAATAGATTTTGGACCAGCTTCAAGTTTGAAATGGTGAGGTGGAAGTGTTTTGTGTCCCTGGGGCCTTTTGCTCCATCTTAAAACCCTATCCCCTCAAACCAGAAAAAGTCCTACCTTCATAACTGGCGAAGTCCATGGACAATTTAGCAGATGGTCTCCTTCCACTCTCAAAAAGTTGAAAGGCTGAGAAGCAGCCCTCAACCCTTTCAGTCATGTCTACTCCCAACTGAAGAGGTCCCCTTCAGAAATAAAAAAGAGTAAAGGTTTCCCCTATTCAGTTTTGTCTGACTTTAAGGCATGGTTTTCATCTCAGTTTCTTGGCCGAGGGAGGCAGTGTTGTCCGAAGACATTTTCCATGGTCACGTAGCCAGCGTGGTTATATTCCAAAGGCGCTTGGAACTCTGTTACTTTGCCACCTAAATGGTACCTATTAATCTACTTGCATTTGCATGCTTTCAAATTCTAGGTGGGCAGGAGCTGGAGCAGGAACGGGAGCTCACCCAGTTGCGCAGTGCTTGGGCGGTCAGCTTTCCAGCTGACAAGCTCTGCACCTTTAGCCACTGAGCCATCACGCCCCATTCAGGAATATCGGGAAACTATTTCATTTACCTGCATGTTTTTTCTCGTTTTGTCTCCTTGCAGTCAAGGCTGCATCATGCCCCAGAGACTGGCTGCAGAAACAGGGGAACTGCTATGGATATTTTGATGAGAAACTAAATTGGGATGCTGCTGAGGTACGAATCATTTTTTCACCAGTCCAGGTGTGGTCAAAGGTTTCTTGAGAAACCAAAATTGCACAAGTGGAGATGTGGAAGGTTTAAAGTCTGCAACACTCCCACTCATGATCACGATGTGCCATTTTCGTGTCCTGCCTCTGTCTTTTAGCTTGAGTGCCAAAGCTTTGGTCCGGGATGTCATCTCGCCTCTGTTCTCAGCCACCAAGAGTCCTCACTGGTGTCTGCATATGTCAAAGACAAACAGCAATCACTTAATCACGTCTGGATAGGACTCCGTGATATCTCTGGGGTGAGTCTGATTTCATTTTTCCCCCACTGCATTCTTTATGCAGTAATTTTACACATCACTTCTGTTATTATGGGTGAGCTACTTGCTGAGAATAATGTATTGCTAGGAACCCAAGATTTTTTTTTTTAAAAAAACAAGTTTCATTAATTTTTCAATTTTACACTCAGATATTTAGGAAGCAGTGTGGTGATTGGGTGGTCAATAGTCCAGTAACAGAGTCTTTCATACATATCTCAGGTTACATCCTTAAAGGTTCCCTCTCTGTTTCCCTTAATTATTATATCACATTCGAGTTAGTACATTTCTAATTATAGCTCAATCAATCAATACAGTTGTCAATATAATTTAACTTATACATATCCAGGTCCTGTTTTTAAATCTTATCTAATTTCAACTACCATGTTCCAATTTAACCTTTAATAATATTTATTATTAAATATATAATATTTAATATATAATATAATATTATTATATTTAACCTTCCATAATATTTACACTTGGAGTAACCCAATTTTTCCTAATTTCATTACCAAATAGTTATTGAATCTAAAATACAGATATTATTCAGTTAATTACATTCTTACTTTATTCCACAAATATATTCTATTCCTCATCCCAGTATCTCATTATTTACTAATAAACTATCTTTTATTGTCACAGACCAACTTTCATATTACAATTCAAAACTATAATCTAATGGCTAATTTTCATTTTCCTTATACCTGTAAATAAATCAAACCCCCAAGATTGTTTGTTGATGCTCAGAGCTGCAGTCAGTGCTGGATTTAAGCACAAACTAAATAAGCAACATTTGAGGAGTGCACAATCTTAACAAATTATCAGAATTTGTGTTTTTTTTTTTGGCTTTCAGAAATTTATGAGGCACTTTCTATGTACTGTAGGTGTTAAAATCTTATGTAGCCACTGTTTAAATAATAATTTTTGTTGTTTAAAAATAGAAGGGGAAAAAATACCGGCTCATTAAGATTGAATCATGAAGCTTTATTATTTCCTCATAGATATATGATGAGATATGGGATGAAGAGATTTATTTCCCCCTTTTTCTCTTATTCATATTTTTTTCTGATTTATATCTATTTGCAAGGTATGCTGTTATAATCTATGAGAGTGATCAAGCCAGCCAAATGACAAATATATAATCAGCATATGCCTTCCGTTGAAACTAATTTGTATTTTTCACTTTACATTCCTTACTATTAAAATCTAGTGATGATCCTGTTTAGTTACAGTTTAGATTTCAGATGCATTTCTGGTGCATCTCTTTCACACTGGATCCTTCCAAGCTTTCTTTAGCTTTGGCCTCAGCAAGTCCACATCCTACACTGACTGTAGTGATATCAAGAAGGCTTCTAAATTCGGACCAAATACAAGTGCTAGGTATTTCACTCTCCTCTCTTTTTGAAGGAGGGACCACTTCATCCTGACAGTATAATAAGAAAAGTTCTTTGCAATGGCCTTCCACTTCTACTTTAAGGTAAATATGAATGGTGGAAGAAGAGTGGTTGTAATAGCCCAAACTATTCAACAAAATGCAGCTCTACAGTCCAAAATTCACCTCTGGCAATCTAAAATTTCATAGAGCTGAATGTTAGATGCAACCATGTATAAAATTTCACTGTCATGAATTGGTCAGAATATGATGCCTTGCTATTTTTATTTTGTTGCATGTGCACTACAAAAAATGTCACTTGACAACTTGGGGAGAATGTTTGAACTTCTTCATTGTAGCCAGTCTCTAAAAGCTCCCCGCCACTCAGCTTTTCTATCTAATTGGTGTAGCTTATGATCCCAAAAGGTTACTTATCTTCTTAACATGTGATCGTGGTCTGTCTTTCGGCAACAGAAAGGGCGATGGAGATGGGCTGATGAATCCACCTTCAACTACAAAGCTTGGATGCCAGGGCAGCCAGACAACTATAACCACAATGAGCACTGTGTGGAACTGTCACGTAACACTGGTAAGCCAACACTTGGTGGTTCTTGATGTACCAGGTTTTCAGATCAGAGCCATCATGAAAATAAAGGTTTGTTGTTTGTTGTTTAACTTGGAGTTATCCCACACGTGAGACGAATGAACCCCATACGTTTCATGGAGTTTTCCATAATTCAAAAGTGAATTATCCTCACTCCCAATTTCCCTCTTTTTTAAAACAAAAGCCTTTAGGACAGCGGTTCTCAACGTTTGTGTGATGGCGACCCCGTCACACAAACGTTATGCGCATGCACGGTGCGCATGCGCGGTGGTGCCCCATGTGCGGTGCGCATGCGCGGTGGCGCCCCCATGCGCGGCACACATGCGCAGTGGCAACGCCCCCAGAAGGGAGAAAATGGCGGATCGCCGCCTTTGGCGACCCCCGAAAAATGGTCGATCGACCCCAAAGGTTGAGAACCCATAGGTTGAGAACCGCTGCTTTAGGAGAAATGGTTAGCTTTCCATGAGAGCAAAGCTGGATAACTGTTCTCCAGATATAATTTAGTCTTTCCAAAACCGGTATCCACCAGATGTGTCAGAGTGTATTTTCCACCCCCTTTGGAGTACTGAGAGATGATGTCCAACATATCTGGAAAGCAGTGAGGTGGGAAAAAACTGGCCTAAACTTTTTCAAACAAGCATGCTGTGTTCTACTGAATGTTCAAAGCTGGCTCTCTTGTTAGGAAGAGCGTGGTAGCCACTTCACAGAGCAGATCAGAAGTATAATGAAAGGGCATGAACATTATTAGTTAATTAATTTCTTATGGATCTAATTTTTACCATGCAAAATCTTATTGGGATCTTGCCTGTCTTTGCATAAATCTTTTGGATCAGGTGAGGTACTTTGGACAAACGCTGGGCTTTTGGCTGACTTGGTTCAGCCAGAATAATTCAGAAGGAAGTTTGCCATTACAACGGAAGTTTCCACTGTTACTTACTTTCACCAATTTATGCATTCATTTGTATATCCATAGTTAATACACTCCATATTCTATTTCTGCTTCAGGAAATTTCTTCATATAGTTTAGTAACCATGAGCAATTAAGGTCAGAGCCTGCATCTCTGACTTCTAGATAAAAAAGTGTTTTTGTAATTGTGAGATCAGGAAAAAAGGTTCATATGACTTCCTCTCCTCCTCTCCTCTCCTCTCCTCTCCTCCTCCTCTCCTCTCCTCTCCACCTGTCCTCTCCTCCTCCTCCCCTCCCCTCTCCCTCCCCTCCCTCTCTACTCTCCTGCCCTCTCCTCTCCTCCTCTCCTCTCCTCTCCTCCTTCCCTTCCCCTGTCCTCTCTTCTCCTCCCCTGTCCTCTCCTCTCCCCCTCCTCCCCTCCCCTTGCTTCCCTCTCCTCTCCTCTCTTCTCCTCTCTTCTCCTCCCCTCCTCCCCTCCTCCTCTTCTCCCCTCCTCCCCTCCTCTCCACTCCCCTCTCCTCTCCTCTCCCCTTCCCTCTTTTCTCCTTCCCTCCTCCCCTCTCCTCCTCCTCTCCTCCCTTCCTCCTCCCCTCTCCTCTCCCCCTCCTTCCCTCCCCTCTCCTCTCTTCTTCTCCTCCCATCTCCTCCTCTCCCCTCCCCTTCTCTCCTCTCTGCCTCTCCTCTCCTCCAATTCCCTCTCCTCTCCCCCTCCTCCCGTCCCCTCTTCCTCTCTCCTCTCCTCTATTCTCTTCTCTCCCCTTCCCTTCCCCTCCCTCTCCCCTTCTCCTGTCCTCCCCTCCCCTCCTCCTCTCCTCCCCTCCCCTCCTGTCCTGTCCTCCTCTCCTTCCCTCCTCCTCCCCTTCTTCCCCTCCTCCTCCCCTCCTCTCCTCTCCTTCCTCCTCTACTCCTTTCCTCCCCTCTTCCCCTCCTCCCCTCCCCTCCTCCTCTCCTCTTCTCCTTTGCTCCCCTCCCTCCTCTCCTCCTCCCCTCGCCCTCTCCTGTCCTCTCTTTTTTCCTGAACCCTAGGTCTCTTTCTGCAATGAAGTGAATGAGGTTTACTTTTATTTATTTATTTATTTATGAGACTTATATACCGCTTTAAGTGCAAGCACTCTCTAAGCGGTGTACACCAGTAAGCAATGTATATATATATTTGCATTGCCCCCAACAATCTGGGTCCTCATTTTACCTACCCCGGAAGGATGGAAGCCTGAGTCAACCTTGAGCCGTTGAGATTTGAACCCGCTGACCTGCTGAACACAGTCAGCTAAAGTGGCCTGCAGTACTGCACTCTAACTGCTGCGCCACCTCGGCTCATATGAAATGAAAATTCATTTTCTTAGGGGGGGGAGGACAGAATATCAATAGCTGTGTTCAGTTCTCCATTTATTCTCCTAGAGTCAACATTTGCTTTGCTTTTTGTGGGAAATTCCATTGGGACCAGTGTAAAACTTCCATGTAATATAAAGATGACAATCTTTTCCAGACCACTATTGAAGGAATTAGAATTAAGTTCTGTCTTATTTTTTTGCATTTTAGGTTTTAAATTGTGGAATGATAGGATATGTACCCATCTAAATGCCTACATCTGTAAGTATCAGCTGTAGAGCAATCCAGATGAAAGTAACGGAGATGCAACCAGAACCGACTGCAAAATACCTGCAAATTTGATCGACGCCCTGTTGATTTTACTGGATCTGATCAGATCTTCTCCCTTCCTAGCCAACATCTTAGCATAGACAACATCACCATTATCCTGTTCTCCTGACTTTTCTCAATAGAAATAGAATATGAATAAATTCTCTGTATCAGATATAT